ATATTTATGAGTCTCTTCTGTTTTGTCCCCCTCCCTGTTTTTATATTATTTTTGTTTCCCTTCCCTTCCGTTCATCTGTTTTGTCTCTTAAAGTCCTCATATGAGTGAAGTCATATGATTTTTGTCTTTCTCTGACTAATTTCACTTAGCATAATACCCTCCAGTTCCATCCACGTAGTTGCAAATGGCAAGATTTCATTCTTTTTGATTGCTGAGTAATACTCCATTGTATATATACATACCACATCTTCTTTATCCGTTCATCCATCGATGGACATTTGGGCTCTTTCCGTACTTTGGCTACTGTTGATAGTGCTGCTATAAACATAGGGGTGCATGTGTCCCTTTGAAACAGCACACCTGTATCCCTTGGATAAATGCCTAGTAGTGCAATTGCTGGGCCATAGGGTAGTTCTATTTTTTGCTTTTTGAGGAACCTCCAAACTGTTTTCCAGAGTGGCTGCACCAGCTTGCATTTCCAGTACAGGTAAATCTTTTGACAACTGAGGCCATGAAGTTGGGGAGCAAAATATGTGCTGCCTGGAAGAAGTATGAGATTGAGGGAGATGAGATTGTTGTTGTTGTTGTTGTTGTTGTTGTTGTTGTTGTTGCTTTAAGACATAACTTTCAGGGTCTCTTGGTGGCTCAGTCAGTTGAATGTCTGACTCTTAATTTCTGCTCATGTCATTATCTCATGGCCATAAGTTCAAGCCCCGTGTCAGTTCCACTCTGGGTGTGGAGCCAGTTTAGGATTCTCTCTCCCTCTGCCCTTCTCCCACTCATTCTCTTTCTCTCTCTCTCTCTCTCTCTCTCAAAAAAAAAAAAAAAAAAAAAAAAAAGATGTACCTTTCATATTGTGAAATGCACAAATCTAAAGTGTATAGCTCAATTAATCTTTGAATATGTATACATCCGTTTAACCACCACCCAGATCAAGTACAAAATATTTTCAGTAATCCTATCCTGTCTTCTAGTAAAGATTAACTCTGTCTGTTTTCAAACTTCATGTAAACAACATCATTTACAATGTTCTCTTTTTATGTCTGGTTTCTTCTGCTAGCATTATGTGTGTGAAATTGTTTATGTTGTTACATGTAGCAGGAGGGTGTTTTCATCACTGTATAATAGTCCATTGTATGATTGTGCCACAATTTGTTTATCCATTGTACTATTTTTTTTTTTAATTTTTTTTTCCAACGTTTATTTATTTTTGGGACAGAGAGAGACAGAGCATGAACGGGCGAGGGGCAGAGAGAGAGGGAGACACAGAATCGGAAACAGGCTCCAGGCTCTGAGCCATCAGCCCAGAGCCCGACGCGGGGCTCGAACTCACGGACCGTGAGATCGTGACCTGGCTGAAGTCGGACGCTTAACCGACTGCGCCACCCAGGCGCCCCTATCCATTGTACTATTAATGGACACTTAAGTTGTTTCACTTGGCTAATATGAAAAAACTTCATGAACATTCTTGTACATGTCTTTTGGAGGATACATGCAGTCATTTCTGTTGGATATTTACCGAAGTGGAATTGCTGGGTTATAGGCTATATGTCTTAGCAAATATTGCCTAACAGTTTTCCAAAGTGGTTGCACTAATTTTTGCTCCTGCTGGCAATAGATGAGAGTTCCATTTGCTTTACATTCTTGCCAATATCAAGCAACAACAAGCCCTTTAATTTAGCCATTCTGACGGCAAAATAATGGCAGCTCATTGTGGTTTTAATTTGCATTTCCCTGTTTGCTAGTTTTGTTATGTACATATATATGTTTATTTTCCATATGTTTATTGGCCCTTTGGATATATTCCTTTCTAGAGTATCTATTTAAGGCTTTTGTCAATTTGAAAGACTGGGTTGCCTGTCTTTTTGTTTGTTATTTTTTGTTTTGCAGATTTTTTTTGTATCTCAGATTTTAATCATCTCTCTCACTCTCGATCAATATCCATCTCTACCTCTCTCCCTCCCTCGCTACCTCCCCGCATTTCTCGTGTATTTTATTTCAGTCTATGGCTTGTGTTCTTATTCTCTAAATGGTGTCCCTGGATGGCCAGAAGTGATCAACTTCATGAGTCCTAATGTATCTGTCTCTTTTTTATGGTTAGGTTTTGTGTGAAATCTTTTATGGTTATATCTTGTGTGGTCAGGTTTTAAAAAATCTTTGCTTACTCTAAGCTTGTCAAAAATTTTCTCCTATTTTTCTTCTATATGATACTGTTCTGAAAGGTATTGCTTTACCTTGCATAATTAGGTCCCTGAGATTCACTTCAAATTAATTTCTGTTGGTGGACATAAGGTAGAGACAGATTTTTTTCCAGTTGGATCTTTTCTCATTTATCAGAAAGAGCATCTGTTTTTAATCACAGTGTCACCTTTGTCAGGTGACCGACCACATGCATGTGGGTCTGTATCTGGACACTATTCTGTTCTATCCTTCCTTGCACATTTCTAATTGCAAGGTTTTTGGTAATGTATGAACTGAGGAAGAAGGATTCTTTTATTTTTATTTTTTTACATGAAATTTATTGTCAGATTGGTTTCCATACAACACCCGGTGCT